TGCTCGGACCCCATCTGGGAGGCCTAGACCCAAAGCGGCCTAATACAGTGGAGGCCAGTCCACAAAAAAACTGCCACAAGAAACCCAAGCCTGAGATCCCAGGAGGTCCATTGATCTTTGGTGTGGGAACGTTTCACTTTCCATGGCAAGAAAATCTAAAGCCAAGAAACCCAGGGTACCCTGGAGGCAAGCACGGTGTTTCTTGGCATGGGTCTCCACTGTATTTCAACGAGCTTCCTGCGGGTATCCAGATCCCCGCCACCACCACCGCCACGGGCGCTCGGGCGCACGGTCGGCTGCAGTGGGGCAGGGCGGCCCGGGCGGCCGCGGGGGCAAACGGGCAGGCCATCGCCGCCCCGGCTCCCAGGGGGTGGCGCGGCGGTGCGGCTGGCTGCCCTGGGCACGAGCCAATGGCTGATGCGGACGTGGCGCCCACACAGCCAGCGTGCCCTGAGGAGGCACGACGGGCGTGCGCTTGCCCTGGCTGGGAAGAGCTGCCACCGAGAGGATCCTCGCCCGCCCGCTCCCGGCAAGACCAGCCACCTGAATGTCCACTCTGTCTGTCTCTCTGGCTCTCTCTCTCTCTCTCTCTGTGACTGCCTGTCTGTCTGCCTGCCTGCCTGCCTGCCTGCCTGCCTGTCTATCTATCTCTCTCTCTCTTCCCAGTCCCCCGACGTTATGTTTCTTTCATGATGTGCACCCCCAGAGGTCTCGACCCACTCCCCAGGACAGGCCCCGGGACCAGGCGGGGGCCCCAGAGTCGGTTTTGTTGACGGCCCCGGGGGCTGGCGAGGGCTCCCACAGGCGGAGAATTGCCAAAAACTCCCCGTCGTGATTGTCTCCTGACCCGAGAGGGTATGAGGAGGAAGAGGAGGAGGAGGAGGAGGAGGAGGAGGAGGAGGAGGAGGAGGAGGAGGAGGAGGAGGAGGAGGAGAGAGGAGGAGGAGGAGGAGGGAGGAGATGAGGAGGGAGAGAGGGAGGAGGGAGCAGGGAGGAGGAGGGAGGAGGGAGGAGAAAGGAGGGAGGCGGCAGGAGGGAGGAGGAGGGAGAAGGGAGGGGGATGAGAAAGCAGAAAGGAGGAAGGAGGGAGGAGGGAGGAGAAAGGAGGGAGGAGGGAGGAGGGACGAGGGACGAGGGAGGAGGGAGGGAGGGAGGAAGAGGAGGAGGCGGAGGAGGGAGGAGCAGGAGGAGACGGAGAAGGAGGAGAAGGGAAGAGGGAGGAGGAGGGAGAAGGGAGGAGGGAGGAGGGAGAAGGGAAGAGGGAGGAGAAAGGAGGAGAAGGGAGGTAGGAGAGGGAGGAGGGAGGAGGGAGGAGGAGGAGGAGGGAGAAGGAAAGAGGGAGGGAGGAGGAGGGAGGAGGGAGGGGGAGGGGGGAGAGTAAGGGGAGGAGGGAGGACGGAGGAGGGAGGGGGAGAAGGGGGGGGGGGGAGGAGGGAGGAGGAGGAGGAGGAGGGAGGAGGGAGGGAGGAGGAGAGGAGACGAGGAGGAGGAGGAGGAGGAGGAGGGAGGGGGGGAGGAGGAGGGAAGGCCCGCAGGCTACCGGCTGCTCCTGCCTCATGCCTCCACGGCGAGCAGGGGGGAGGAAGTGAGAAGGCGATACCTTGTCAGAAGGCCCGGAAGTCCCCAGGCCTTGCGATCAGTTATTATGAGCCTTCCCCGAAGAAACAGGGAACTCCTCAAAGGCGCGAGGGCTTCCGAGAAGCCCCACCACCGTCTGAGAGGGCCTCCTCCTTCTCACTTTCCCCATCGTTCGCCACCGACACACACACACATACACATACAACACACACACACACACACACAAACACACACACACACACACACACACTGTTTTTGCGTCGCGGCCCCGCGCGCGACGACCAGGCGTAGAAATTCGGGCACATGCAGCGGAGCGCGCGCGTCTACGCCTGGCCGCGCAGTCAGAGACCGCTTAGGGTCTCGCAGCTGGCAGCATCCATAAGCATCTGGGCATGGATGGCGGCAGGGGGCGGTGGGAAAAGCACCACACGCACACTCACACACTGTTTTGGCGGTCGCAGCCTCGCGCGCAGCGACGAGGCGAAGAAAGCCCCCAGGCGAGAACGCGCGCGCGGCCGGTCCCTCAGGAGAACACGAAGCCATACGCGTACCTGGGCGTGCGCTTCGGGGGTGCAGAGGGTGCAGTGGATGCAGGTAAGCCCGAAGGCGACAGAAGGGCGCGCTGTGAGGCTGACAGCCAACACACATACACACACCTTTCCTCAAGTGGCCGAGTGGCGTCAACACGACGAGAGCTAGATTGGGCTACAAACGATCCGAACTCCACACGGCGTAGCGAGTGGGTGGTTGCGCAGGGCGAGCGAGCGCGGGGAAAAGCACCCGAGTGGGTGGGCGGGCGCACCGCGCGTGCAGGAGAAAACAATCAGAGTCGGCGGGTACGAGCGGAAGCAGAGCAGCAGGCCTGGCCACAAACACACACACACACACACAAACAAACAAACGAAAGCACGCACACACAGAC